TGTCCACAGAGTTGAAGAATTTCTCTCACGTGCTTATGGAGGAAAGAGCACACATAGTTGGATTGATCCATACATAATTGGGCGTTTGCAGGCAAGTGTGAGGACAAGAAGGCAAAAAAAATGAAAGTGTTTGCAAGCATGATTCAAGATTAGAGTCACAGTGTTCAAGCTGCTCGCTGATGAAAGGGAAGCCAAGAAAGAGCTGTGAGAATGAGGAGAGGATGGAAGCTTCTAGGTTCTCCATTCAATCCAAGAACAGAGGGGGAGAGCTGGGAAGGATAACTGGTTTGCTTAGAGGGTAAGATAGAGACATTTAATACATTTTTCAGAAGTGGAATGTTTAAAATGGTGACCAGGTTGATTGTGTGACTATTAGTATGAGTGAATGAAGTAGAATGAAAATGATGGTCAGTGTAGTTGAGAAAATCTAATAAAGATGAATATTTTAGGATATAGTTGTGATTTTAAATTTCAGGTGTGGGTCAGTCAGAGTTTGCTGTCGCTGACATGGTTGACATGTTTGTTTTACTACTGCCACCAGCAGGAGGAGATGAGTTGCAGGTAATTGCTTTGATTTTTCCCCCCAAAATACAAAGTGTATGTCTCTGAAAATAAAAATTTCCAATGTTGTGTTTTTGTAAACTAAGTTGATAATGGTTTAGAAAAAGGAGCATCATTCATGTTGGCTAAAATACCTGAATCAAAGGCAGATTCTCTGTATTTTTTCCCAACTGACAGGAATAGAATATATAACCTTGAGAATGTAAAATTATGCAACATAATTTTTTCCGGCTGCAACATGATTGAAATGCAGGGATAGTTCGAGCCAGAAGAGACCATTGTTGCGTAGATGTTGTTAGTACACTTGATTCAAAAGTTCTTCATAAGCTATAACTGGGATCCCACTATCCTAGTTTATATGTTTTAACAACGAGATTCTTTCCTCCTGTACTGCAGTTCTGGCACTACTGCCCAAAGTTAGTGCAGACTTCATAGGGTGAGGGCATAGTCCTCCACAAGCCTCCTTTCACTTCAGACACTAGCTGCAGGATCCAGGGTTCCCAGGCCACCCATACCTCTAACCAACTGGCTATAAATTTTAGGGTTTGCATTTCCCCTTAGGTTTAGTAATTCATTAGAGCAGCGGTCCCTAACCTTTTTGGCACCAGGGACTGGTTTCATGGAAGACAGTTTTTCCATGGACTGGGGGTAATAGGGGATGGTTTCAGGATGAAACTATTGCACCTCAGATCATCAGGCATCAATTAGATTCTCATAAGGAGTACACATCCTGGATCCCTAGCATGTGTAATACACAATAGGGTTTGCACTCTTAGGAGAATCTAATGTCACCGCTGATCTCACGGGGCAGAGCTCAGGTAGTAATGCTTACCCACCTGCTGCCTGCCTGCTATGAGGCTCAGTTCCTCCATGGCCTGGGGGTTGGAGACCCCTGAGCTAAATGACCAGAGAACTCAGGAAAGCAAGATATTACAATTGTAGCATGCTTATAAAGGATACAAATCAGGACCATCCAAATGAAGAGCCCCATAAGAAGTCTGGGAGGGCCCAAATGCAAAGCTTCTGTGTCCTCAGGACATATTTCTCTCCTGGCATATTGATGTGTATCATCAACCAGAAGGCTTCCTGAGCTTTGGTGTCCCAAGGTTTTCTTGCGGTTTCATTATATAGGCATGACTGATTGAATAACTGAACTTGATCTCTACCCCCATCCCCTCCCTGGAAGTTGGGTTGATATCACATGGCATAAAACCTCAACCCTCTAATTACATGATAGTTCTTTCTGCCACGGTCAGTCTGTCATCCTGAGTGATCTCATTGTATAAACTCAGATATGCCCCCAGACACCTCCCATGAATAACAGATACTCCTGTTACTCAGGAATTCTAGGAGTTTAGAACTTAAAAGATTACCTCCCTGCTTTCTCTTAGACAAATGAAGGTGTAGTGGGAAAAAAAAAAAAAAAGATTACCTCCCAGAAACCCAAAGACCAGACAGTTTTTTTCTTTTTTTTTTTAGAGACAGGGCCTCACTCTGTTGCCCAGGCTGGAGTGCAGCGGCATGATCATAGCTCACTGTAACCTTGAACTCCTGGGCTCAAGCTATCCTCCTGCCTCAGCCTCCCAAGTAGATGGGACTACAGCCATGTGCAACTACTCTCAGCTAATTTTTAAATTTTTTTTTCTACAGTGAGGTCTTGCTTTGTTGCCCAAGTTGGTCTTGAACTCTTGACCTCAGGCATTCCTTCTGCCTCAGCCTCCTAAAGTGCTGGGATTACTGGTGTGAGCCACCACACCTAGCCCAGACAAATTATTTATTATACAATATTTCCATTTGAATTTTGTAATTCTAAAGCATAGTGATAGCAGACTATGGCTGCTGATTTAGGAACATTATCTATTAGAATTTCATAATCGAAAGTTTTATTAAAAAATATTTGAAAAGAAATTTTAATCTTATATAGAAAAATCTGTGTTTACCAAATAAGATTTGGCTTTTGGATTTCATCCTTTATTTCTAATATTTTTATGTAACATTATTTGAATTAAGAGATTGAGGTTTGTCCACGTAAAGCTGAAGGAAGAAAAATACAAAGTATAAAAAGAAATAATAAAAAAGATATTGACATATTTTTAGACATCAGATTATTTTTCCTCAAATGCAAATTGAAAATAAAATCCTAATTTTAAGGAAAATTTCAAAGACTTTTTTCTGGAAATGCAGATGTTAATGATAGGTGTGTTTACTTTTTAAGAACCTTAATGATGGATGGTTTTGTATCCTGCAATGTTAGCTCATGAGAAGCAGATTCCATCATGAGACAATGTGAACTTTCCTGCCTCAATCATGTTGTGGCTTGATGTATTTACCCTAATTTTGAATGTATTTCAACATGTTAGTCTCTAAATTTGGAAGAGATATTACAGACAGCTTCTGTAATCCCAATGGCCAATGCTTTTGAGTAATTTCTGTCAAGTAATTGTGTCTTGACATCCAGGATTTAGGAGGATAGGGATAAAAAGTTAATGACATATATGACTTTCAAACTCTTAGCATTGACTAATTTTCCCATTTTTATTTTGGGCATCATTAAATGTTTTTGATCTCTCTAGGGTATCAAAAGAGGTATAATCGAGATGGCAGATCTGGTAGCTATAACTAAATCTGATGGAGACTTGATTGTGCCAGCTCGAAGAATACAGGCGGAGTATGTGAGTGCACTGAAATTACTCCGCAAACGTTCAGAAGTCTGGAAACCAAAGGTGAGCTTGCACTGCATTCTGTGTCTTTCACTCTGAGTGGATTGTGTACATTAGAAGACAGGATGTAAGTCCCAAAGTAGACATATAATCAATCTTGCTTCCCCGTGAAGATTATAGTTTTAAAAATCATGACAAAGCCGGAGTGTGTAGTGATGATTTGAAATATAATCCATTAACCACTAAATGTCAAAAGCTACTTAAGAGGTGATAGATTTGATTGTTTAAAACTTGATTTGAGCCATTTGAAAGTGATAGCAAATCCATTCTGAAAGGAACCATCCTTAAGTTATGGGGCAGCTAATGATTTGATTACCTATATTGGAATTTGAGTAAGAGAGAAAAGGCCTCCATTCCCATTATGTTTGTTGGGTGCCATTTTCAGTAAGGAAAAAATTTTTAATCCTGTAATAAGTGATGCAGTAATATTGATGTGGGCCACTTTATTTGTAGACAGACACTATGTTATTAAGGAATAAGCTATAATCATTATAATAAGACAATGATGACTTATCTGACTGCCATATCCCAGTTTTTCCCAATCATGTTGTCTGTGTTGAGTCTGGAGCCACCTTAGATGTACATGTAGGTGTCAGATGCCCAGCTCTTCCACTTGCTAAATCAGGCAAATTTGACAAAGAGAATTAGGCTATTTCTCAATCTAGCTTCATTTTCTGATACTCAGGCCTCAGGGGAACCTACCTGGCATTGCCCTTATCACAAGTCCTCTATGATGCCCCTGACCATCTGAGGAATCTTAAATTAAAACAAATCTCAGCAGGGCAAGGTGGCTCACACCTGTAATCCCAGCGTTTTGGGAGGCTGAGGCAGGCAGATCACCTGAAGTTGGGAGTTTGAGACCAGCCTGACCAACGTGGAGAAACCTCGTCTCTACTAAAAATACAAAATTAGCTGGGTGTGATGGCACATGCATGTAATCCCAGCTACTCGGGAGGCTGAGGCAAGAGAATCGCTTGAACCATGGAGGTAGAGGTTGCAGTGAGCCAAGGTCGCGCCATTGCACTCCAGCCTGGGCAACAAGAGCGAAACTCCATCTCAAAAGAAAAAATAAATAAATAAGTCTCTGGGCTAAAAATTTGACCTTGAATCAGTGTTTTATTTCTTCTGTTCGCTTACTAATCCTAGGTATATTACCTCAGAATATATATTGGTATATTTACTTTGACACAGCAGTAAAATCTCATTCATGTCAGTTGCCTATTTCTGTAGACTGTAAGAATTAACTGGCAGATATCAGAGTCCCCATGAAAATGTTTTCTATTATTTTAAGTAAAATGGTCTGGTTCTTCTCTTTTCCATAGGTAATTCGTATTTCTGCCAGAAGTGGAGAGGGAATCTCTGAAATGTGGGATAAAATGAAAGATTTCCAGGGCGTAATGCTTGCCAGTGGGGAACTAACTGCCAAACGACGGAAGCAGCAGAAAGTTTGGATGTGGAATCTCATTCAGGAAAGCGTGTTAGAGCATTTCAGGACCCATCCCACAGTCCGGGAACAGATTCCACTTCTGGAACACAAGGTTCTCACTGGGGCCCTGTCCCCAGGACTAGCAGCAGACTTCTTGTTAAAAGCTTTTAAAAGCAGAGATTAATAAAATTCATTCCATATAATAATTTTACATATCATTTCATAAATTATTTTAATAGAAAAATCGCTTGTATGCTTACATTTTCAGTAATTATTGTACGGCGGTCTTCTTTGATTGTGAACTGTGCTTGAAAACTTGAAGGAAGTTAGGTATGAATGGCAAAGTTTAGACAGGCAGTATTTATAAGGTACCTGTTGTATGTTACTGATTTCTGTTTCTATCTCTTATACCCTAACATGATGGCGTGTAGGGTAGTTTCTTCTTATTAGTCAACAGCAGAGAAAGCTGAGAAGAGCAGAAAATATCTTGCACTTTAAAATGCTTACTTTGATTCCATATAATCTGAATTTTCAGAGATGTAAACAAGAGTGGCCATATTTTTGGAGACCTTCTTGAAGCCAAAACAACACACAGTGGGTTGCTATAAGCTGAAAATCATAAATGACATTTAGTGTACCAGATTATTCTAAGAATTTCTGAAATCACCATGTACATGCGTAACGAAACAACTGGAATAATGTGATGATGTGAACACAGTTCTGAAGTCTGCTTGTCTGGATTTGCAGGCACCCTTCCCCCACTGATGTGATAGGTAAGAGAGCAAAAAGGAACTGGGAAAATCAGCTACAAATAAAATGGGTGATTAATCCCCAATTCTTGGACCCATTTTATTTGTCGCCGATTGGAGTAAACCTCCAAAGACGAAGTGAGGTCAGAATGATTCAAGGATTATTCAGTTGAAGACTATCAAAGGCTTTCGCTTCTCTTCTTCCTTGGCCATGTCACTTCATTTTAGCATTTTTTAAATCTACTTTTTTCTTTACGGTGAACAACTTTTATCCTATGGAGGAAGCATAGCACAGTGATTAAGAGCTTGGGCTCTGTAGTTGGACTATGTGGGTTTAAACTTTAAACCAAAATCAATCACATATTAGCTATATGAGCTAATCTCTCTAAGCTTCCATTTCCTCCCTGGTAAAATGAAACTGGCAAATAACTTTCTAAGGTTAGTGAAGACTAAATGAGATAACGTAGGAGAATTATTGAGCTATCATCATGGTATATAGGAACTACTGAAATGCTGCTTACTGTCATTATTACATTAAAGTTGACTTTGCCTTGTCAAGAACATAATTACCATTAACTTCTATAGGTAGGAAAAAAAATGTACTGAGCTCCAAAACTGACAGACATTTTGCTAAAAAATATCAAATCTCATTAAAATGATGAGAGTTATTTTAATAGTTGACATTAGCTATCCCAGTGCAACCTAACAAGGCATTTACTCTTCATAATCACTTGATCATATGGCTATTTACTTGCTTTCCCTAAGCCTTTATAGCTATTGCCCAGTGTATGCTGAAGACAGCAGCTAACGAACAACATATGTATGATAATTTATGTAGCTAAACCTGTAATGCAAAAAAAAAAAGAAAAAAGGAAAAATCAGTGCAAATCATCCATTGTCCTCACCAGATAGACTGCCATCATCGAAGTCATAATGCTGCTGCTAAAAACTAGTAAACTACTAGTAAACTGTGAAGACAGAAGTAACTCCTGTGACCTATACGTTTGTGCAGGTGGTGAAGCTTTGCTGCTCCTGAAGCCTGAGAAATGCAAATGCAGCTTTGTTAATGCAAATGCTTCCTACATCAGACTTTATGAAACTCCTCCTAAAGTTGAATTCTTATCCAAGTGGGCATATGTTAGGGTGCCATTGTAATTCAGGTAGAGTGTCAGAGTGGAGGCTGGCACCAACAGTAGATGTTCTAAACATTAGTGTTATTCAGGTAAGACTACAAAAATGATGAACATGTCAAAACTTCAAAAGGAACAATCAGAAAAACTCTTTAACATGTTTTTCTTTCTATAGTATTTTAATTAAAATTTACTAAATTTATGAATGTTTTTATCCTGCTTGAGATGAATACTTAATGATAGTTCTTATTCCATAAGCTTCTATAGATTTGCTTTGTCATTTGTGGTATGTTTGATAACAAAAATATTAGTGGCAGAAAAACAGTTATATTGAATGCTTTTGTTTTAGAGAAAATTTCACTCTGTACTAGAAAATGTAGATGATATGAGTCAAAGTTCATTAATACTTCCCCTGAAAATTTGTGTGTAAAAGTAGCGCTGGAGCAGTTTATTCTGCCTAGCCCTCTCAGCTTCTTGATAAAATAAGGTGAGGGCATATGTAAGTCAGTAAACTATTCTACTGTTAGTAAGGTCAGAGGCTTAATCTATATGCTTTTAACTAACACAGAGGAAATCATGTGACCTCATTCTCAAAGCTCATAACATCCACCTGGCCAATCTCGAGATGTGGTTAGAATTCTTTTTTTTTTTTTCTATTTTTACAATAATTTTTGACACATCAAAGCTGTCCATGTTTATGTGGGCACAATTTGATGCTTCAATACATGTATATGTTGTGTAATGATCAAATTGGAATACTTAGCATATCTGTCATCTCACACATTTTTCATTTCTTTGTGGTGACAACATTTAAAAATCTTTTTTTCTAGCTATTTTGTAATATACAGTACCTTACTGTTGTGAACCATAGTCACCCTACTGTGCCATAGAACACCAGAACTTATTCCTTCTGTCTAATTGTAACTTTGTACCCATTGAGCCTCTTCCCTTCCTTCCTTCTGCTCTCCCCTTTCCAGCGTCTGATAACCACTGTTCTCTTCTCTATGAGATAAACTTTTTTTTAGATTTCACATGAGTGGGGTCATGCATTAATTGTGTTTCTGTGTCTGGCTTATTTCCCTAAACAGAATGTCCTCCAGGTTCATCCATGTTGCTGCATGCTGTTAATAGAATTTTACAGAGAAATATCTTAGCATGACAGCATAGCCATTTATAGGGCTCATACTTAAATGCCAAATCTTGTTATATATGGAACCCAACTATTTCAAGGATCAATGTTCTCTTATGAAGTCACATTAGCATTTACACCCAGATTTTGCTGACTCAGAATTCCATTGAATACAGGATCCCAGTCTTCTGAAAAGTCCTCATTCCAGCTATTTTTGGAAGTCTCAGAGGTTTCCTCACTGATTCACAAACAAGTTCACACTCTTGGGTGCAGCCTACTCATGCCAGGCTTCTGTTGGGCCTCCACTATTTCTACTGGTGCTGTTCCTGTAGGAGAATGCTGCCTTGCTTAGATGTTCACAAACTGTGAAACACTTAAGTTGCCAAAATAGTGCTGTGTTTTCAAAGCACAGCATCCTTGCCTCTCTTCCCGCAAGGGCCAATGCTTTGTGCTGAGATAGGATCCAACTACTACTGTCTCTCATTGTCCTCAGGTCTCCCTGTCTGTCTCTTCCCCTGAGCACCTAAGTACACAGCCTCTGCAGAAAGTTTTCCCCACACAAACGCACTTTTCAAAATGTAAATCAACTCCTGCAAAGGATGCCTGGGTTGTTGGCTATCCTTCCTTTTCTGGTAGTATCACCTTTGGCTGAATCATGACCTCCCAGCTTCACATGTGGATATGCTTGCTAATTCTGTCAACCCCTCAAAAAAGGTATCACCTCCATTTTACAGAAAGAAATTGAGCATCAGGCATACTAGGAAATTAATCAAAGTTCACCATTTCTAAATGTGATGCATTACATATATTAATTCAACCCATTACCATTTTCCAAGTTGCTCAAAGCACTCTGAACCTCATTCTTTCTATAAGACAGTTCAGTGGCAGATGTTATCTTCAATTATATGTAACATCTGTGGTATAGAGTAGTTAAGGAATTTGTACATAACTCAGATGGTAAGATCCTGCTCAGTGTTTTAACTTTAAGGTCTTTCTTCTACAACCTAATATCCTTGATTTTGCTTTTGTGGAGAATACACCTCAAGGTATTTTATTCCAGTAGAATTTTTTGCATATGCTTAAGGATAATATTTTAGGCATTCAAACCAAATAGAAACCCTTAATATCAGCTTCTGTATTAGCCCAACTAGAAATGATGGAAATCTACTAGCTTGGGTAAGAGAGTAATATACTGCCTCGTCTAATCATACAAGGAGAAGAGTGGGAGTACAGACACAAATGATGCTGGGGATTCTCCCTGCCTTTTATCCTCTATGTATTATTCACTTCATTCTTCTGGCTTCCTCCACATAGCTGGAGATATGGCAACAGCAGCACTTAGGTCCACAGGAAGGATTTCCTTAGGTCTAACTCCATAGACCTAATTCTAAAAGTCTGAGGGGAGCACTCTTGCTGGTCTGCCTGACAGGTCGTAGGTCCATCTCCATGGCCAAGGATATGGGTTCTATGATTGATTGAAGTTGAGGAAAGATCAGTTCCCCATAATAAGAGGTTTGATAGTCTCAGAATCAAATCAGATGCCAGGCAGACAAAACAGATATCTATCATAGATACTTTAATCTGTTTTGGAATAAAGTGAGATATAAATGTATTATTGATTGGTGTCATATTAAAAGGTTCAGTCTTCATGAAAAGGTTTAATTACCGAATTATTGGTAATATAGTTAACCCTTAAACAATATGAATTTGAACTGTGTGGGTTTATTTACACGCTGATTTTCTTCCATCTCTGCCACCCCTGAGCTAGCCAGACCAACCACCCCTCTTTTTCCTCCTTCAGCCTACTCAACATTAAGATGACAAGGATGAAGACCTTCATGATGATCCACTTCCTCTTAATGAGTGATAAATATATTTTCTCTTATGATTTTCTTAACATTTGCTTTTCTCTAACTTTATTGTAATAATATATAATACACATACAAAATGTATATTCACTGTTGATATTATCAGTAAGGCTTCTGATGAACAGGAAGCTATTAGTAAACTTTTTGCATAGTCAAAAGGTATACATGGATTTTTGACTATATGGGGTTTCAGCACCCCAACCTCAGTGTTGTTCAAAGGACAACTCTATACCCATTGAAACACCCACAAGTGAGGTTCATATTGTCACCTGTCACATATTTGAACTTATATTAACACATAGAAATAAATAACACCCAGCCGGGCGCGGTGGCTCACGCCTGTAATCCCAGCACTTTGGGAGGCCGAGGCGGGTGGATCACGAGGTGAAGAGATCGAGACCATCCTGGTCAACA